TGTCCAGAACCCTCTGTTGTGATCCCGGTCAGAGCAGTCAGTGGTGGTAGCCGGGCACCATCTAGCTGTACTGGACTCAGTCTGATGGAGGCCTTGGAAGCTGTGACCAATTTTTGTTTTAATCAAGGCTTTTTGTCTTGATAAGAGCCGTACTGGTCCTTGAAAGTATTTGACACCTTAAGCTCTTTAGAATAAAGTTCAGAAATTGTGAAGTTGAAGCGTCCTTGGAAAATGAAAGCAGACTTCCCTTTCTAAAGGTGACGGTGATAGCAACTAATGTTTATTGCGTTCTCACTATGACCCAGGTACTATGCTAAGGAAGTTCTTGGTTTATTATCTCTAGTCCTCACTCTTAACACTGTGAGGCAGACACTGTTATTAATTCTGTTTTACAGAGGAGAAACTCAAGACATAAAGAGAATAACTTGCCCAAACTGATAAAGTCAAGATTCAAACCCAAGCCTGCCCCATTCTAGAGACTAAATTTATAATAACTGTGCTGGCGATACAGATGTTTGTGTCAGGACTTTAGTTTCCAAAGTGCTTTCATGGGTTTTATCTTGCTTGAGTGTCACAATAACCGTATGATATGGGCAAACCAAATACTAATCCTAATATTTTACTGACGAGGTAGTTGATATGTCGGTTGAGACTTGCCCAAGAAGATAGCAGCTTATAAGTGGTGGGAGAAGGATTTCTGCATAAGCCATGTAATTTGTAATCTACTTGTAAGGACAATTCTGTATTACCCTTATTAGGTTGTTTTTAAAACTATTTTTAAAATGTGTTTGAATCTCTTTGAATAATATATTAAGTTTATGTTCACTTTATTTTTATCAAGGTTACTTTCTTGTTAGCAAGGCTTAATACTGATATCCTGTTAATGTACTAAGAGCCCCTACTGAGGTCAGCACCATCAACAGACTGCTTCTCCTAAACTTTATTTAGGAATACCAGCCCTTATGCCAATTTTAACTGTTTAGGAAGGCTACTGGGAAAGAGTTACTTCTTATATATCTTGACCTTCTATTTGAGGCTTCTGATCCCGTGTTCAGGAAGCTAATGAAAGAGAACTAAATTGGTCAGCCTTCCTGTTCACTTTGAAATATAACTGAGAGATAGCAGGAATAAATACAGGTGATGATCGCAAATAAGGAAGTTAGGATGGCAATAAGAGAAAAGCTTTTAAAGAATATCAAAGACAGTCAGAAACATTGGAGCTGATAGGCTTTGTCAGTTAACACTTGTTCCTTAACAGGACTAAGAATCTTTGAGGGCAATGATGTTAATTAATGAACAAAGCCGTTCTGAAAACCCTTATTTTTACAGGCAAGAAACTATATTCAGTCTTTGACCCAGATGCCGAAGATGAACTTTGCAAATGTATTTATTGGTGCCAATCCCCTGGGTAAGTTGACCATACTCTCTCCTCATGGACATTGCATTGATTGTGACAGAAGTTAAGGATTTGAAGAATAGTTTTTCCTTTTGATTAAATAAGGCACCATTAATTAAATCTGGGAAGGTAATAAATGTGTCATTTATTATCTGTATTTTTATTGTCAGATTTTTTTTCATCACATGACATGTGTATGTACTTATATGATCACAGGATTTGGTGGGGGCATGGACTGGTACAAGGAAGAGAGAAAGTGGTAGGAATGTTGGGGGAGAAGATTGGGGGAGGCAGGAAGAAAGAGGTGCAGAGGAAAGCCGTGACTTGTTCACAGCTGCTGTCATTTCATAGTCTCCCAAGCTGAGGGGAAAAACAACTGAAGCATGGCTGTGTGTTTAGCTCTCTGCAGCGTGCTCTTCTCTGCCTTTGGTCCCCTGGTGCTACAGATCCTGTCACCCTCCACACTTATGTACTTTCCCCTTCCCTCTTCCTCCTGTGCCCTTCAGAAGCTTTACCATCCTCACTGCAAACTTCAGGGAGTGACTCCACATTCCTTCCTGCTACCATCACCTCCAGGATCCTTGGCAGAAGGGCAGCGACAGAGGCAGCTGCAGGATATTTACTACCTTGGCTAAAAAAGAAGGCTCTGTGCCTTAAAGCTGGGGGCTGGTATGTGTTTCAGTTGGTCACCGAAAGCTGTACTGCCTGAGGCTCTAACTTCTGACACCAGGAGAGCTCAGTGCTATAATAGTGGTGGACACAGAAGGATTCAGACTAGGACCTTCTTACAACAGGGAAGGAAGCAATGCCATGACAGCTAGTATACTCAGCTTTCTCACTTTTCTGAAGATCATATTGTAGTGGTATGTTAAAATCTCACTGCGTTTCTTTCAGGCAGCCATCTATTAAGCAACTGTATGAGATCTGTGTGGGCCATCCCTCTGCTTAAAGATTCCATCAGCTGTGTTTCAGATCTAGTTTTATCCTTTTGGGACTGACAGTCACAATGAGCTCTTCAAAAGTTGGGGTGAAGGCTAGGTGGTTTTATCTTAAATACTTCATCTTTAGTGATTGTTGAGAGGGAGGGTCAGTGTAGCTGTGATGATTCTTAACTGGCAGAGAGGCTTACACTCTTCAGAAGTGTTGGGCAGTTATGGGTGAGTCCACGTCAGCCTTGGTGATAAAGAGTATGTCAGGTCTTGGCTGGGTCACTCTCACGGCCAAGGATGAATCCACAAACTCCTCAGGGATATATAGAATTCCACTGGGATTGGTTTAGGTTTGCATCTGCCTTGGCATGTGCTTTCAATGGTTTTGCATGATTTATTTGAGCTGTGTTAGCTAGTTCAAGGATCTGTGAGAAGCTCTTTCTGAGTCATAAGTATTCTTGAATGTTGGAAAAAGATGCTGTATGCCAGTAGTTTTCTTGTCTGTCATTCTGTTCTGAATTTTTCTCATCATATCAGCCCTAAGTTTTGGTCATGGCAGTGCTCACTGTTTGGCTCCCAGTTAGCAGTCTCAAAGAGATTTGTTAATTCATGTATCTGGGAAGGGTGGGAAATGCGTGTGTCCTAGCAGCTTATTTAGGCCACATACATCCCATTCCCTGGAGTCATGACATTTAAACATTCGAAAGAACTAGACACAACTTTTCAATGCACTGACTGCTCGTGAGTTGATTGTAGGATTTGGTCCATCAGGCACTCAACACTGTACTTCTATGTAAGTTAAACATGCCTGAACACCCCATCGGCAAACAGGGACATCAGACAGAGTCTGTTCTTGCCTGACAGACAGAACATGGTATTACTGATCATGAACTCGTGCCCAGCATATTAACTGAGTGGGAGTACACTGGTGCTATAAATATTATCAACTCTGTTTTGTCTGTCACTGACCGACTGTTATTCCCAAAACATGAATTAAAACTTAAATGGCCCTTTGATGTTAACGTGTGTATTTATATCTGTCGAGATCTTTGAGGAATTTCTTTCTTATCCCTGTCCTTGTTCCTCATCAAAGGTGTTGGTTATAAAGACAGTACTTCTTACCCTAAGTGTGGCAGAATGATTATATGCTCATATTCAATTATAAAACCAATAGCTGATAAGATTTGCGTTTTCTAAGAAGGGAAGACCATTGGGAGAATATGTATCTACAATTTTCCTACTACTTTAAAGTATAAACTTATAAACGTGAATCAGCACATGAATATTTACTTTGTTCCTGTATCCCTCTAAAATCCCAATGTCTCCTGTGGATTACTCTGGAATTTGGGCTGCAGGACAAGGGTCAGTTGTAGCCTCCAGTGTATGCAGCAGTAGATCTCTTTAGGAAGCTGGTCTCCCCTTCACTAATTCATCTCATCCCTCCCCTCCATTTAAGAAACCATCAATAATTTGCAAAATCTCAAAAGCCTTTCTGTTTCACCAAAGTGATAACAGTGCCCACGGCAGTATGTATCCTCCCAAGTACCACTGTCCTGAAACTTAAAACATCCTCTCTTGAAAGACTTAGAAAAATCACCACTTTGTAATCCCTAATGAAGTAATCACTTCTGGCAAGGAAAATCAATGGATGCTAAAAGCCATAAGCGAACGATTGATAGGAACTGATGTTTACATGCGCTAAAAGTATCCCACAAATTACTTGCTTAGGGCAAAGAAGAAAACATCTTAACCCACTGATCAACTTTAACATCATCATTAATTCAGTATGAAATATACAGCATCACCTATGAAGTATTCTTGCCAAAAATGTTTAACCTGATTCTTGTCAAAGTGTTAGCTGTAACCTCCAGTTTTCAGGGAATACAGTAAAGTACAAAGAAGTAGTCTTTGATGGGTATTCTCAAGAAAACTGGAAGGTCTTTTCAGGTCAAAGGGAGGGGGAGTTTAGAAGGTGAGAGACTATTCTAGATTAAAAGAGACTAAAGGGACCCAACCAAATGGTCCTTAATTGAATCTTCGTTTGGACAAACTAACTGTAAAAAACAACTTTAGGATAATTGGAGAAATGTTAACATGGGCTGGATTTTAGATGATATTTGTGAGTTGTTCAGTTGTCAGTATGGTAACAGTATTATGATTATGTCAGAAGATCTGTTTATGCTGAAATATTTTGGGATAAAGTATCATCTATAATTTTATTTTAAACTGGTTCAGCAGAAATATATATAGATAAGGAAAATATAAATGTTGGCAATTACTGAATCTGGGTGGTAGGTATATGGGTGGTCCCTGTACTACTTTTACTTTTCTGTTTTTGTATATTTGAATTTTTTCATTGTAAAAATAAAATTCCCTTTTATTCAAACATCATGTCTCCCCCACAGTCTCAAACCCTCAATTTGTTCATTATTTGAAGATCCTTTCAATGAATATTTATTTACCTGAAATTAGTAAATAAATCATGAAGACAAAAAAGAAAAGAAAACCAGTCCTGCCTACCTGTTCTGGATTACTTTAGCTATATGCTTTCATTTTGATACTGTTTGACTGTAGTAGTAGTCATTGACACTGACATCCCACAAGCTTATTCCAAACAGAATTCTACTTACTTTTTAATGTACTCTTTAAAAATCCATCCATTCATGTGTACACGCGTGCATGCTCTCGCGCGCGCACGCACGCACGCACACACACACACACACCCCCCAGAAAGGAACAATGGGATAAGGATATATCCTAGAGCAGAGTTTTTGGAGGAGAATTCTTTGTTTAAATATGAAGGATCAAAGCCGTGTATTTGCTTAGTAAGGCATAATTTTTTGTAACATGTTAAAAACTCTTCTTTTTTCCTTCTACTCTCTGGAACTGAAAGCTGTCGACTTGCTGGAGAAGATGCTTGTATTGGACTCAGATAAGAGAATCACAGCAGCCCAAGCCCTTGCACATGCCTACTTTGCTCAGTACCACGATCCTGATGATGAACCAGTGGCCGATCCTTATGACCAGTCTTTTGAAAGCAGGGACCTCCTGATAGATGAGTGGAAAAGTAAGTCCTAAGAGCAGAATCAGCATCTAGCTTGAGAACTTAGATTTAAAAACCTTTCCTGCGTGAGCCACTAACCAAAAGCCGTGGAAGAATAAAAGCTTCTGAATGGTTGTAGTCAACTCACTAAAACTTGTAGTTAGGGTCTGTAATGCAGAATGAATATGTTCCTTTAATGGAAACTGTTGTAGATGATAACACTCTCTGGACCTTTGAGATGCTCATGTCTGATCTGATTTTGTACACAGCCCCTCTTATTTGCATAGGGCTTTGAGGTTCTCAGAGTCTTTGCATTTACATCTCTCTAAGATGAGTGGGGAATGGGGTATTTTATTGCTAGAACTGGGCAAAGAGAGTTTATATCTTACCTGTTACCTTAGAGCTAGTTTGAGACACAGCCAGGAATAGAACCCATTTCTCGTATGTGCAATCTTACGTTCTTTCCAGAAAACACAAATTCAGAACTCCAGTTAAATTCCAAAAGCCAGGACTGGCTAACACTGTAGATTGTGGGAGTGCTCTGCTGTTCCTGATACCTTCTCCAGAGAGTTTTAAAGAGGAGGTACTCAGTGATGAAAGAAATGAGGAAAAATAGCTGTTTTGTTTGTAACCTGGAACTTCTGTGCCTCAAACAATGAGGCAGTTATTTGAAGTAGCCCATCAAACCACTAGTCTGGGCAGAGAGGGAGGATCTGGAGGTTAGAAGTTAGAATGTTTGCCAACTTGGTAAGATGATTTGAATCTCTTCCTTAAGGAGAATAGTCTTCTACAACTCTTAACATCTTACTTTTTTCCTCCAATTTCTAGGCCTGACCTATGATGAAGTCATCAGCTTTGTGCCACCACCCCTTGACCAAGAAGAGATGGAGTCCTGAGAACCTAGTTCCTGTTCTGTTGATCCCACTTCACTGTGAGAGGAAGGCCTTTTCGTGGGAACTCTCCAAATATCATTCAAGTGCCTCTTGTTGCAGATTTCCTCCATGGTGGAAGGGGTGTGTGTGTTTGTGTGTATGTGTGTGTGTTAGTGCGTGTGCATGTGTGTGTTCTCTTTGTGGTAAGAGAATATGAGCAAACTATGATCACAGTGACTTTACGTGGCATTGAAATCACTCTGCGGCAGCCTCTGGCTGCTCTTCTTTGTGAGAGTCGGCTCAGGCGTTAAATGCAAAGTAAAAATATTAGATGTCCCAGATCCCGGTCATACTTTTGCCATTTTGGCCTCTCCTGTGGTCCCACCTTGATGGTGGGTAGGTTTGACCACATCCCACAGTGGCCCAGAGGGAAGGCTCACACCTTCTGGCTGCTTCAGATCCGAAGCTGTCCCTCAGCAGTGTGTACAGCCACAACGGACCAGCTGGCTTCTGTGCACTAACCTGTGATGAACTTGCTTAGTATCATCCTCAGAACTTGACAGGTGTATCTGAAACTGTAAATTTGTTTGTGCCTTAAAAGGAGAGAAAAAGGTGTGGATAGTTAAGGGAGTGCAGCAGATGAAGTTCTGAGCCAGGCAAGTAGATAGGATTGTCGGACGGCCACTTGTGAACCCATAGTGACCAGGGAGCCTTCAGAGGCAGCGTATGTGTATGAACGAGCATGCGTATATGTGTGTCTGTTTCTCTCTCACCCCCAGGTGGTGTCGCCATTTCTCTGCTTACCCCTCACCTTCCGCACAGAGGTTTCTTGAGTATTGGCCCCAGTAGCCAGAAGCAAGTTCTTTCTGTCAGTGTATTCCTGTGTGCTCTTTATTCCTAGCAGAGTGAGGATGTGTTTTGCATGTCTTGCTATTTGAGCATGCACAGCTGCTTGTCCTGTTCTCCTCGGGAGGCCCTGGTGCCAGGCACGTTTGCCAGTGAAGACTTGTTGGGTAGTTCAGACCCTGTGTCACCTCAGCTGATGTTATGGGCAGGTGACATCATTCTTTCTTCAGCCCCCAGCGCTATTTTGTGTTGGACACAACTGTACTCCAGGTGCTTTTGATGTGAAAACCATAAAGAAATGGAACAGATGTTATGTCTAGCATTTTAATTCTTGCCATCCTAGTTTTCAATGAACTAATTTTGGGGAGCTGTCATGGGAAAGATCAGAGCTTTTCCCAAGAATATCCCAAACTTTGGAAAACAAGTTCTCTTCACTCCCAATAACCAGTGCTAAGGAATGCTGAAAATCAAAGTGAAAAATAAAAGCTCATGAGGCCAGAAACTCATTTTGCTATCTTTCTCTAAATATGGTTGTAAGAAAAATAACAAGGATTTCCCCCCCCACCCCCCCCCACCCCCCTATGGAAAAGGGTCTTCTTGGCAGCTTAACATTGACTTCTTGGTCTTGGGTTGGGGAGAAATAAATTTTGATTCTGAATTTTATATATTGCAGGAATCCTTTGGGAATGTGATTCCTTTTGATGGGGAGAAAGGGCAAATTATTTTAATATTTTGTATTTTCAACTTTTTAGAGATGAAATATCCTCAGGGGTGGAGAAAAGTTGTTTTCATAACTTTTTGAATTTCAGGCATCTTGTGCTACATAAAGGCCCACGTTTAAGCCTTTTGCGAAATAAGGAAGTACACAGCCACTTCCAGGGCTGGCTGTGTGACAACACCTGGAACTTCGGCCAAGGTGTTTCCATTTCTCTATCACAGTGTAGTGACACACGTACTCCAGAGGACAGGGTGTGAATACCCCTGAGTCAGGTGGAGCAAGAAGGAAGGAGGCAGGCCGGTGGTGATTACCCCTCACCTGGGATTCTCCCTCTCTTGAAACGAAAGTGAACTTTAAAGCCTCATCTCCTTTATATGCAGTTCAAATCTTCACTTGGAAATGTAATCCACAGCAAAAAGAATTTTATCAGCCACGTTTGGTTGTAAATGCTAGTGTGATTTCCTACAGAAATACTGCGCTATTTTTTAATAAAGGTCTTTGCACATGTGACCACATACGTGTTAGGAGGCTGCATGCTCCAGGAGCCTGGACTCCAAACTGGAGCTTGTGGAAGAGCTCCTTGGTTTCTGAGCATAATGCTCCCCTCTCCTGATTTCTCTGAACAGAAAACAAAAGAGAGAATGAGGGAAACTGCTATTTTATTTGTATTCATGAACTTGGCTGTAATCAGTTATGTTATAGGATGTCATACAATACCACTGGTTAAAATAAAGCCTATTTTTCAAATTTACTGAGTTTCTCAAATTTATTATGTTTTAATTTCAATATTTTTATTTAATACACAGTATAGCATTATATCAATGTTCTCTCAACTGGGGCCTGGCATACTTTTCTGATAAATCTTAATATTACACCTAAAACTTAGAAGGCATTATAGAGCTCTTTAGTTGTACTTGTTATGGCAAAGAGGATCTGGGTCTTTGATGTGGATGGGTAAAGCAAAGAGCAAAGAAACAAGGCATAACGTGATAAGGTCTGTGTTACCACACTTGGGTGTAAAAGTGGCCTAGGGCAGGGGTCAGCAAACTATGGCCTGCAGGCCAAATCCAACCTACTACCTGTTTTTGTGTGGCCCACAAGCTAAGAATGGTTTTTACATTTTTTAGTGGTTAAAAAAAATCAAAAGAAGAATATTTTGGAGCATGTGAAAAGTAATGTAAAAATCAAATTTCTGTGTCCACAAATAAAGTTTATCAGAACACAGCTGCATTCATTTGTTCATGTATTTTCTGTGGCTGCTTTCAGGCTACAATGGCAGAGTTCAGTAGTCACGACAGAGACCACATGGCCTGCGTAGCCTCAATTATTTACTGTCTGACCTTTTACAGAAAAAGTTTACTGACCCCTGGCTTAGAGCTTCTGTAAAATGAGGTTTCTTAAATAAACATTTGACTTATTTTTTGCTTTGGCATTCCAAGGCCATCTGTAAACAGTATATTTTTATTTTTAAATTGAGGCTGGATGTGTACACATATATTTGGTTATACTTTATATATGTGTGTACATATGTGTACATTGTTTATAGACTTTAGGCAAATGTATTTTATGACTGTTTTGTATTAGCTGACTATGGCCCTTGAATATACTCTTCAGAACTACCAAATTACATCACAGGCTTAAAGGACCACAAGGTCTTGCAGCTGAGTTCTCAAGGCCTAAGGTGTTGTGCTTCCTTTCTCAGTGGCCTTGGAATGCTGATGAGTGTCCTAGGATGGATTTACGAGGCCCAGTCTGTGAGGATGTCGAGAGTGTACAGCTGGGCCTGCTGTGCTAGCTGGTCCCTGGCTGGCTGCTGAGAATGATGGCAGTGATAGGCAAACCAAGCACAGGCTCTTTCTTCCTCGTGTCACCGGTGACTTATTAAAGGGGTGAGAGAAAAGACTCAGTTGCAACATGTGGTTCATCTGCTCCTGCAAGGATCAGACGTTGCAGGGGATATTTTGCCTTCACATAGCAACATGAGCAGCCAGCAGTCAGGCCTCTGGGAGGCAGAGCACCACCACTCCTTTGCAGAAGTATTCTCTACATACCTGGGAGGGCTTAAGGGACTATTTTAAGGATCTGAAGCAAGATTTTTCAACTTGGGTGCTGTTGACATTTGGGGCTGGATAATTCTTTGTTGTGGAGGGGCATTGTAGGATGTTCAGCAGCATTCCTGGCTTCTTCCCACAAGATGCCAGTAGCACACACATACCCCATCCTCAGATGTGACAGCCAAAACTCTCCAGACATTGCCAGGTGTCTCCTGTGGGGGAGTGGGGAGCCGAAATCACCCCAGTTGAGAACCACTGATCTAAAGCATGGTTCCCCCTAGTCCTGGAGAATACGAAGCTCCTTTTCTTGAAGAAATAATTGAAGGTTAGCACCCACTAACCTGTTGTCACTAAGAAATGACTCAATATTGCAGGGTGGTCAGGATTGGAGAGTACAAATTTGAAAGGCCTTTTTAAAGACTCGAGTATGTCTTTTTGGGGTAAAGGAAGATGTTAAGCAGTTCAGAAGAAAGTATGTTGTGTACTGGATTAAGGCTATTCCATTTTTTAAAAAACTGGATGTGGGTGTTGAGTGAGTTAAGTTGTCCTTTGTCCAGAAGCTCTTTGACTGTTAACCACAGACAGAAAATCTAGAAATTAAACTGGTGTATGATTGCATGATTTTCTTAGATAGGCAGGTGTTGGGGTACAGTGGATAGAATACCGGGTTTTGAAGCCACACATACTTGGGTTCTAATCCCAGCTCTACCTCTTGCCAAGTATATGACCTTGGGATAATAGTTACTAGCTTTTCCATGATTATAAAGAGTAAGTGAAATAACAAATCCTAGTAGGCGTGACAAGTTGTGGGTACTCAAGATACTGGTTAGTTTGCATCTCACTTGAGTTGACCTTGGACATCCGGGCTGTCCTGTTAGGGTGAGTTGGGGAGTGTTCTGCGGCTGGGAGCAGTATGAGCTCTTCTGAGGACTGGATGGTCCAGAGGCCTTCCATTTTCTCTCTGATTGACGTCGTTTGAGAAACCTTTCCTCAGACACTCTGACATCCACTGATCTCTCTCCTGAGCTATTTACAGAGCGTCTTCTCTATGCCACTTTCTCACATTACTGGCTTTTATCTCTATTTTGTCTTTGTCTTCAACTTTTGTATATGCCACGGGCACCTTGCACAGTGCCCTTGAGGAGCACAGTAAAATGGATTTGATACCCAGTGCCACTTAAGTCGAACTTTGCCGCTTAGCAGCAAAATGTTGTGGGGGCAGCTCTGTCAGTGGGCTTTTTTAATGTAGCCTTTCCTGAGCAGTGTAGCTGATGTGCTGTTCAAGCATGATTGGAGAGACAAGCCAAAGGCTTACTACTCCCCACAAATGCCATTTAGTCTTCAAATTTCAGTACTGGGGTGATCCTGAGAGCCAATTGTTATAACTAACCATATAATCTCAGATTTCTTTTAGGAGAGGATTCTTTTTCAGGGCTGCCCCAAAATGCAAATGCATGCCTACTCAGCTCCACTGTGGTTTCTGGAAAGCTCCCCATTATTGAGGCTATGGTCTGAGTACACATAGCCAGCAAGATACTGTAGTAGTCAATCCTATTTGATTAGTTCAGCATAGGGACGGGCTTTGTTTAGAAGTCACTGAGCAGTTGAGTTAAGAAGTAACTTTAACCTCAATTTTGCAATAATAAAAAAAACTTACGCCACTACCTTTTGAGGGTCAGTTGAGGCCCCCCCCCAAAAAAAAGATGTAAAACCACAGGCCCAGCCTAGACCCTTGACAAAAATCAGTGGTTCTCAGCACTATCAGATCCAACGCTCTTTTCATAACAAATATTTCACAGCATCCCTTTTATAATTCTGCACTGAAATTCATAGGTCATATACACATATGTGCAATTTCAAAGAAAATATAATGCTGTAATGATGAATAAAAGAAAAATATAAATGCATCTTAACGTGTAAACACTCAAGCATAACTACATAAAAGACATAAGTAGTCAGCTGCTTGCACCTATTCATAGAATAACCGTGAACGTGACTGCCACAAACGCTGTGTTGTATCAGCAGCTCACGTACCATGGCTGACTCTGCTGTCATGATGTGATTTTCTGAAATTGGTTTACAAGTCTTGGTAGAATTCCAAACAAAACAAGTATACATATCTATATATAAATTTATACAGTGTGTTCCTAGAATTTTTAAGTATATTAATACCACTCAAAACATTATGTTTTATATGTGAAATTGAGTTAGGGTCTAGGCTGAGATAATCATAAATAGGTTTTTTGCCTACCTGAATGTCCGGCAGGATATTTGAGTTATTTGTAATGTGAAACAGTTCTTGAAAATCCCGCTTTGCACACTGGCTCCTGCAAGCTAAGTGTCAGTTGTCATGTGACAACCAATAATGACCCACAGATTTCTAAAGTGCACCCGTTGAGAACTGTTGACATAGACAAAATGACTGGGATGTAGAGCCCTAAGAAAGTGAAACCTTCATGTTGAAGGACAAACATGCCTCCTTACTCTTCCCCTCGTTTTGCCTCCTCACTCCCTTTCCGTCCCTCTCTACTAAAAAGAAATTATTATATTGAATGCCTACTGTCTGTTAAGCAGTTTATATCCTTGAATATCCTATGTAAATGATGTCTCAGATTCTTATCCTGGTCATATTACAACTGGGGCTGGAATTCACAGACCAATGGTGTTGACGTTGTTCCAAAGAGTTTTATAGTACTGATGTTAGCCATGTTTCTCTTGGTTTTTGAAAGAAAATCAAGAAAAATGTACTCATTGTGCATAATTTCCCTATTGCTGGCCACTGCTG